TGTGTTTTTTGTTTTGTTGTTGTTTTTGTTGGTTTTGGAGACAGGGTCTTGCTCTGTTTCCAAAGCTGGGGTGCAGTGGCATGATCACAGCTCAGTGTATCCTTGAGCTCCTGGGCTCAAGCAATCCTCCTGCCTTAGCCTCCTGAGTAGCTAGGATGATAGGCATGTGCCACCACACCTGGCTAGGTCTTGCTATGTGGCTCAGATTGGTGTTGAACTCCTAGGCTCAAGTGATCCTGCCATTTCGGCCTCCCAAAGTGTTGGGGTTATACAGGCATGAGCCACTGTATCTGGCCTTCAATCCTTCTGAATGAGATTATCTAATTCTGGTAGATATCTGCATTGGGACTCAAAGATACCATATTTATTCCTCTTTCCTGGTCTTGTCCATTTCCCCTGCCCATAATGCCCTCATAGTTCCAAATCTCACCCATGCTTTAGAGATAGATAGACCAGGTACCATTGGCTCCACAAAGCTTTTTCAAATCACTCTTGTTCACATTGATTGCTCCCTTCGCTTCCTGTTTATAGAACTTACTTTCCTATTAGTTATGGGCCAGAAAATATTTTAGGCATTATAGTCTCTCACAACTACTGAACTCTATGGCTACAGAGTGAAAGTAGTCGTGGATATTATAAACAAATGGGTATAGCTGTGATCCAATACAACTTTATTTTTTTAAAAGCTGGATTTAGCCCACAGGCAACAGTTTGTTGATCCATGCTTTAGCTGACCAAAATTATAAACTCTGGAAAAAATATAAAAAGCAATTGTTTGAAGGCCCTAGATAGCAAGCAAAGGCACATAGATGTGATCCTGAAATAAATTGTACTGGCTGAAATCTAAATTTATCTTGTGTAATTGTCAAACATTATTCTGGGTGTTTCTGTGAGGGTATTTTTCGATGAATTTAACATTTAAATTTTTAGTCTGAGCACAGCAGATTGCTCTCCTTAATGTGGGTGGGCCTCATATAATCAGTTGAAGTCTTGAATAGAACAAAAGATTGACCCTCTCCCACGTCAAATGAAATTCTTCTTGCCTGACTGCCTTTGAGTTGGGACATCATTTTTTCCTAACTTTAGACTCAAACTCTGCTTCTTCATGGATCTTGAGCCTACTGGCCTTTGAACTGGCACTATGCTATCAACTCTCCTAGTTCTAAGGCCTTTAAACTCAGACTACACCATCAGCTCTCCTGGGTCTCCAGCTTACCAACTGCAAATCTCAGGACCTGTTAGCCTCCATAATTGCCAATTCCTTATAATCAATCACTTTCTCTTTCTTTTTCTCTCTCCATATATCTTCTATTGGTTCTGTTTTTCTGGAGAAACCTGACTAATTCACCTGGTTTTTCCCAGTGTGTATTTATCAACATAGGGAAAGGAGTTCAAACAAGAAGCTGTAGTATAACTTGGGTGTAGAGTCAGAATTTGGAGCTTGGGCCTGCCAGAACAGTTAATAAAGAAGTGATCCACATAAAAAAAAAAAAGAAAAAAAGAAAAAAAAAGTGATCCACAAAGTAGAGAGCTCCAAAATCTATGCACAAACTTCCATTGAATTCTTGACTCAAACTGTGTATATGTGAGAAAAGGCTCCAAGGAGCCTAGAAGAATCTGCAGCTGGAAGGTTGAAAGAAATTATCAGCAATTTCATTATTTGCCTAATACTGGACATACAGAGTTTGGAGTTTAGGTTCCTCCAAGTCAGAAGGTCTAGGTTAACATGGTGGGCTTTCCATTTAAATCACAGAAGAATCCCACTTTAGGTGTAAGAACTGTGAACAAGGACTAAGGGCAATATTCTAAGAGCTAAACTGAAGTAAACCTCTTCTAAGAAAGGCTAAAACCAATATCCAAAGGATCAACTGATCTTCCAGAATTTAACTGCTCTCAAGTCTTCAGAGGAAGATATGAATTTCTATAATGTGTTATTCACAGTGTCCATTATTAAACAAAAAATTAATAGACATGTGAAGAAGCAGAAAAATTTGACCCAATATTAAGAGAAAAAAGTTATATGGTAAAGAATCTATAAGAAAAGCAAATGGAAATTATAGAACAATACAATATATGAAATGAAAAACTAATTAGATAAGGTTATTAGCATATTAGACACTACAGAAGATAGGATCAGTGTAATTGAAGACAGACCAATAGAAATTATCAAAACTGAATTAAACAACAACAACAACAAAAGGATGAAGAGCCTCAACAACCTGGAGTTCCAGAGGGAAGGTAGAGCAAATAGGGCAAAAAAAGTATTTGAAAAAATATTAGCTAATAATTTTCTTAATATGAATACATTAACTCAGATACATGGAGCTCAGCAACCTCCAAGCAAGACAAACATCAGGAAATAAACACCAAGGCTCATCAAAGTAAAACTGCTGAAAACAAAACAAAATAAACCAAACAAAGAGAATATCTTAAAGAACCCAGACATAAAAAGGTGCAGTATGTGTAGGAGAATGATAACAAGAATGAAGTCTAAATTGACATCAGAAAGAAAAGATGCCAGAAGACAATGGAAAGAAAAAGGGGGGAAAAATTAATGAAGTAGAATTATACACATGCAATAGAAATATTCCTCAAAAGTGAAGGCAACATGAAGACATTTTCAGATAACCAAAAAGCTGAGAGAATTCATTACCAGCAGAATTGCACAATAACATATGCTGGCTGCGGTGGCTCACGCCTATAATCCCAGCACTTTGGGAGTTCGAGGCGGGTGGATCACAAGGTCAAGAGATCGAGACCATCCTGGTCAACAAGGTGAAACCCTGTCTCTACTAAAAATACAAAAATTAGCTGGGCATGGTGGTGTGCACCTGTAGTCCCAGCTACTCAGGAGGCTGAGGCAGGAGAATTGCTTGAACCCAGGAGGCGGAGGTTGCAGTGAGCCAAGATCGCGCCATTGCACTCCAGCCTGGGTAACAAGAGTGAAACTTCGCCTCAAAAATAAATAAATAAATATGAGATATGCTAAAGAAGGTTGTCAGGCTTAAAGGAAATGATACCAGATTAAAATTCAAATCTGTTTGAAGGAATAAAGACAACTAGACACAGTAGATATTAAAAATCATTTTTCTTCCATTTCTTTATTGAAAAGTCAACACACTATTTAAAGTAAAAATAACACATGGTGGATTTTATAATATATGTAAAAGTAAAATATATGACAAAATAGCACAAAAGATAGAAAGTGGGAACAAATTTTTTAAAAATAGCAAAATTTTAGAATTTAACCTAACCATACCACAAATTAGATTAAATGCAAGTAAATGATACCCTTTAAAACAACAGCTTGTCAGACTAGATGAAAAAGCAAGACCTGACAATATGCTATTTATAAGAGACTCACTTTAAGTATAAGACAGAAGTTAAAAAGTAAAAGCCTGAGAAAAGATGTATAACAATCTCCCCCTTATCCATGTAAGACATGTTCCAAGACCCCCAGTGGATGCCTGAAAGTGTGGATAGTATTGAACCCTATATATACTTTTTTCTTTTAAATATGAAAACTGAGACCAGCTACTAAGTGACCAACTGGCAGGTAGCTTATACAGTGCTGATATGCTGGTCAAGGGGTGCTTCACACCCAGGGAGGGGCACTATGAGATCTCATCATGCTATACAGAGTAGCATGTCATTTAATTTTTAATTGTTTATTTCTGGAATTTTCCACTTAATATTTTTGAACTACTATTGGCCATGGGTAATTGAAACCATGAAAGCTGAAACTGCAGAAGGTGTATCATGTAAACACTAATCATAAGAAACTGGAGTGTCAATATTTGTAATAGTAAACAAAGTCAACTTCAAGATAAGATAGATTACCAGCAATAAAGAAGACCATTTAATGCTACCTGAGTCCATGAGTAAGGTTTAAAAACAAAAAAGACCATTTCATAACGATAATAGCTTTCATTCATCCAGAAGATATGATATTCCTAAATGGTATGTATCTAATCACAGAGCTTTGTAATACATGAAGCAAAATCATATGGAACTAAAGACAGAATTAGACAAACTCACAATCATAGTTAGAAATTTTAATACCCTTGCTCACTTAAAAGTAGAAATGTAAACCAGAAGAATGAGAATTTAGAAGACTTCAACAACACTACTAACCAAATTGACCTAATTAAAAATTTATAGAACATTATATACAACTGCAGAGTTCACATTCAAGTATACAGTAGTTCTAGCTTTTGCAGGGCACCATATTAAATAAAACTTGTGCATATCAAAACCTTCGCATGGTTCTAACATGCACGAGTTTTAGTTAGGATGTAACTATGCCAAGCAAAGGTTTCTTTAAACAGAACATTCACCAAGATAAAACATATGGGGAGGGTCATAAAACAAGCCTGAAAAAATTCCAAAGAAATGATACAGAGAATGCTATCTGATCACAATATAATTACATTACAAATTGATAACAATAAAGTTATCTAGTAAATCTTCAAATATTTGGACATTAAGCAATAGACTCCTAAATCCGTGGGTCAAAAAAAGAGCATATGCATAGCATCTAGCATAATGCAACCAAAAAATACTTGAATTCAAAAGAGCCCTGTGTTTGGTTGAAGATTTTTATTGGAGAAGATATGAGAGATGAAATAGGAAGTTCACCTTTATTCTTCTTCACTACTGGAACTACTTAGAAAAGTCCTAGCCCTAGAGAACATACTTTCCTCTATATTAATTTAGGTAAAAAGTATGTTTAGAAAGATGTTATGGAAATAATTGTCTATGGGTGCTGCTCAACATTGAGTAGTAAGGCAGATCCTTCAAAAAAAATCAAACAGTATGCTTCAGGCAGCATTAAAAATTTTTCAAACATAGGGATGATTTTTGGGGGTTGTAACTTTTAAAATGTTAACATCCACCACTCTAATTGTACTTTCAGCCAAATATTTCACATATGAAAAATAACAGAACAGCTTCTCAAAAATTAAACTGATTTATCTATAAAACACTAAATAAACACATACCTTAGCTGCATTGATAAAACATGTTTGTAATTGTATCCCCAAAACTAGAAAATTTTCTGCAGCTGATGGAAGTAATTCATTGTAAAATTTCTCTGCATCTTCTCCTGGCTCCAATCCCACACAGCAATGGCTGAAATAAGAGCCCAAGTTTGTGTTAATTAGAAGTTTACTGAATGCTCAAGCTTCTAGAGACACTGTGCCTTATTGAGAATTTTTAGTATGCTTCTTTTGTTGCCAAGCCAATAAAGAATTTTTGTTGGAAAATTAGTCTAACAACTTTCTAGAAAAGTAAACAGTAGTATGGACCATGCTTATACTTAGGTCTGGGATTTATATATCCTAAAAACCTACATATCAGCTCATTCGGGAAATAAAAGAGACTTGGCTCACAACAAGGATAAGCTAGGTTTTCAATGAATTGGCTATAATCATTCTGAAAGCCATAGGATACCTTGAGAATTTAATTTATGAAAAGCATTTGTGTTCACTAATAGATTTTAGACATCCAATAGCTGAAAAACGGCCAGGTAGCATTTGTTTGCAAGGGATACATAAGGAAACCAAACCCTAATTTCATACCAATTCTACCTTTCATTAGATACTTTTTGCAAAATATTCACTTTCATACCAATTCTACCTTTCATTAGAATACTTTTTGCAAAATATTCACTTACATATTCATTGCATCAGAAGGACAAACAGCAAAACCTAAGTCTAGTAGGAACACTTTACAATATACATTAAAGGAGAGAAAGTCACTTAAAGAAAAAGGGCCTTCTAAAACTGTACATGAAAGTCATTTCTTAGATATAAGTCAGAAGTCTCAATAATAATAAGCTTTTCTGTAAACTAATATCCAAAACAGCCTCAAACCGAAGTATGGTCTCTATGTGTATGCTAATGAACAAAACCTGCTGTTTGAGTCTTTTCAACAAAATGTATGGACGCTAATAAGCAATAACAACTATGTACTGAGCATATTTAAAACCTAAGTAATCAATGGCAGACTGGATAAAGAAAATGGTACATTTCTTTGGGGTGGTATATACATACCACATTCTTTTTTATGTAGCCATAAAAAAAGAACAAAATGTCCTTTGCAGCAACATAGATGGAGGTGAAGGCTATTAACCTAAGTGAACTAACACAGGAACAGAAAGCCGAATACTGCATATTCTCACTTATAAGTGAGAACAAACACTGAATACATATGACACAAGGAAGGTAACAACAGACATAAGGTTTACTTGAGGGTGGAGGGTGAGGATCAAAAAACTTCCTATTGGGTACCATGCCTACCACCTGTGTAATGAAATAATCTGTACACCAAATCCATGTGACATGCAACTTACCTATAAAACAAACCTGCATGATACCCCTGAACCTAACATATAAGTTAGGAAAAAAACCCTAAGTGGCTAATGTTTACATGTATCAGTCTTTATTTATTTATTTTTGCTTATTTTCTAAAATTAATCAGCTAATAGTCACATGTATCAGCTTTTCTTTTCTCTTTGGTTCCTAAAGTTAATTCCTTAAGAGTATCTATTTTGAATGAGAGGATTAACAAATGAAATTATGTTTATTTGTGCATTCATAAACATGGGAATTTCTTAAGTCTTGAATTCTACTCCTGAGAGGCCTGGCTTAATCAATATCATCATAAACTAGCATATCTAATCAAAACAAAAACATAAGGCTTTATTTACTTAAGAAAATCAATCTTGAAAATTAAAGTATGAAAAAGAATATTACATATATTTTTTAACTGGTTCTTTGTAACTATTTGGCCTTTACCAGGTAACGCAGTAGGATTAAGCAGATTAGAAATCTAGTATCCAAGACAAACGCTTTCGGTGGGAATAGTTTATTAAAGTCAAATGGCTTATCTAAGAAATACAAAAAACAAAAAAAGAAGGCCAGGATCCAGTTAGTAAATGCATATGTTCAGTTACTTAATCAGGAAGTAGCTAAGGCATTAAGAACATCTGGTTTATTTTACTACCCCCTTTAAAAGAATGATGTTTATTTCTTTTCTATTAATTTCTAGCATGGCAGTAGATCAGTAAATGCTACTTCTAAATTTTATTGACACTATTTGGGTTGCTTAACGAAATATACTGTTGACAGCTAAATTGATATAGTGAAATGAATGTTTCTTTATCGGTTCTCCTATAGTACTTTGCTTGCACACTTTCATTTTAGTACCAATTTCATCCTGTTTTGTATCATATACTTACATGACTGTCACCCAATCTCTCTTATAAGTTTCTCAAGTACAGAGCCAGTCCCTTAATTTCTTCACTTCTATAAATATTTCTTAGTCAACAAAATGTATATTAGGCACTTGGAATTCAGTGGTGAGAAAAAAATATGATCACCATCTTCATTAAGCTTGTGGAGGAAAATTTTAGACAATCAAAGAATCTCAAATAAAGTTATGAACAATACATATAGTATGAAGGAAAAGTACAACCAAAACCTATAACAAGAGGTTGCCAATGCTTGTTAGGCAGATAAAAAAGCAAATGCTAAAAATCAGAATCGACTACTATATCCCTCAAGAACAAGCTGACTTACTGCTTCATTTTACCTTAATATCTGTGTAAGCTGGGAAATGGTATTCCAACCACCCTGGATTTGAGAACAATCTTGACTGAGGACCAAGAGGCAATATTGAATGAGATCATAACAATATATATCTTGTTTGATTTTCTTCAACTCTGAGCTTCCTAAAGGTGTGTTGTTTATTATTTCTAAGGCAAAAGGAAATAAGATATACTTATTTTTGCTCAGTACATCCAGGAGTTATTTGTATTTTCATATGTTGAATAATCACTAAAAATATATTAGAATAAAAAATCACTGCTCTATCACAGTGTTAAGATTTCTCTGGACAACTTTAAAAGAAATGTTAAAATTGTACCAATGATGGAACTGTTTTTCAATTAAAGTGCTATCTAATCACAAAAAGATTTGCTTACCTTTTAACTTCAACAGTGTAACAGGGACATTCTGCTCAGGGCTTTTTGCAACTTCAGCAGCTATAGATAAGATCCTTGGGTCTGTACCTGTTGGCTTCATTTCTTGTATTACCTATCTTTTAACAGAATCAGAGAATAAAGGTCAAAAGCCATAAAATGTTCACTACCTAAATAATGTTTGAAATATAATTTCAATATAAATAAAAACAGCTTTTCTTGCCTTGTTTGAGAAACTGTATATAGATTTTCCTTTAATTTCTTCCTTATAATAAACTGGTTTTTCACACCAGTGTAACTCTAAAAGAGCTCAAGATTCCAATACCTCACATGTAACAGCTATAGCAGCTACTTAGTGCACTCACTAAGAGTCAGGAACTGTGATAGGAGCTTCACATTCTCTCTCTAATTTGCACAATAATTCTAGGATCGGAATTAACTTTCTTTAATCATACAAGAAAAACTGCAAAAAAGAGCTAAAATGACAGGCCTAAGACTACTATCCTTTCAAAAGTGTGCTTACAAGGTTGGCCCTTGGCTGGCATCTAGAACTTGGAGTTCAGGAGGGTTTCTACCATTCTCTGATAACAGTGGCTCCCTGTGCCTACTGTTTATGAAAAACAATGTGGCTCATGCTGAATGCTTGCTTTCCTTCCAGTGAGTCTTAGAATTCTGATACATACCAGCCAAGAGTACCTATACAGAGGGTGCCTATGTGGCCACCCTCCAATAAAAATTCTGATCACTAGATACATGTGGTCACAGCTGGGTGCTGTGTTACTAGATACATGTGGTCACAGCTGGGTGCTGGAGGAATTAGGCATGCCCTATTTAACTCCACTGGGAGAGGACTCAGAAGTTTATACCTGATTTCCTCTGGATTTCACCCAATATGGTTTTTCCTTTTGCTGATTTTGCTTTATTTCCTTTCACTGTAATAAATCATAGCTGTAAGTACACTAAATTCTGAGTCCTGTGAGCCCTTCTAGTGAACTATTGACCTTCAACACACTAATGCTCAGAAATGTTACATAAATATAAGATGATAAAAGATTACTTCTAAATAATACAGTGAATAAGGCCAGGCGTGGTGGCTCACACCTGTAATCCCGCACTTTGGGAGGCTGAGGCAGGTCAATCACTTGAGGTCAGGCATTCAAGACCAGCATGGCCAACATGGTGAAACCCCGTCTCTACTGAAAATACAAAACATCAGCCAGGCATGGTGGTGTGTGCCTGTAATCCCAGTTAGTTGGGAGGCTGAGGCAGGAGAATAGCTTGAACACAGGAGGCAGAGGTTGCAAGATCACACCACTGCACTTCAGCCTGAGCAACAGAACTAGACTCTGTCTCAAAATAATAATAATAATAATAAATAAGTAAATAGTATACTGAATAAAATCAATTGTCCCTAACATTAAAAAAAGAAAAAGGTCCACATCCTAATTTGTTGCTAAAACTTTCTCTATGTAAAAAAGTTTAAGGAAGGAGAATCACTTGAGAATAGGTGTTTGAGACTAGCCTGGCTGAGAAAACAAGACCCTGTCTCTAAAAAAAAATTTTAAAGCATTTGAAGCTCAAAAATATCCTCACACAATATAAGTACATTTCCTTATTTATAATTAAAGCTAACATATATTGTTTAATATGAGCTAAGCACTGTGTTATATACTTTTATATAGATTGTGTTATCTGATCCTCACAACAGGACTAAGAAGTAGAACCTGTGATCATCTCCATACATACATATATATATATATACATATATATGTTTTAGTTCACAGTTCCTGGCTCATAACTTCCATAGGCTTTGTTACAGTCTTGTTTTGTTAGGATGATTTAGGTCTCAGAAAACAGAATCTATCTGTGACTTTCTTCTCTTCTCCTTTCACCTGCTCCTTCTCCCCAAAGCAGAACTCTAATTGCCCCTGCTGTTCTCTGACCTATCTTGTCTGGCTGTAGGTCATAAGACCCCCCACCGCACCCCATTTCAGAAGGGGTCTTGCCCTATATCCTGGAAGAAATGCTACACAGAGAAGCCAAGAAGAATCTGAGCAGGCAGGCCTTGCTGGGTTTTTCCACTCAGTCTATTAGTATTAGTTTGTATCTTTTTTGTACAATCACATTTCCAACATGATTGTCCATGCTTCAGTCATGCTTATCCAATGAAGTCTCCATAAAAGGCTCGAGGATGGGGTACAAAGAGCTTCTGGACAGCTGAACATATGGAACTTTCTGGAGGAACTTCTTAGATAGCACACCAGCGAGGACATGGAAGCTCTCTGCCCCTTCCCATACTTCCTAGTATGCATCTCTTCATTTGTATCCTAGTTTTTTTTTTTTTTGAGACAGGGTCTCACTTCTGTTGCCCAGGTTGGAGGGTAGTGGTACAATCATGGCTCACTGCTGTCTTGACTTCTGGTTCAGGTGATTCTCCCACCTCCACCTCCCAAGTAGCTGGGACTAATGATGCAGGCCATGATGCTTGGCTAATTTTTTGTATTTTTAGTAGAGACAGGGTTTCTCCATGTTGCCCAGGATCTCTGTAATATCTTTCATAATAAACCGGAAACATGTTTCCCTCAGTTTTGTGAGCTACTCTAGCTTAATCACCCCAAAGAAAGGGTGGTAGGATTCCACATGTGTAGCTGGTTAGTCAGAAACATAGGTAAAACAACCCAGGGTTGCAACTGGTATCGGAAGTAGCGGCCACTCTTGCAAGACTAAGCCCTAAGCCTGAGGGATCTGACCCTATCTCCAAGTAGAAAGTGTCAGAATTGAATTAGAGAATACCCAGGTAGTGTTTGCTGCAGAATTGATTGCTTGCTTGTTAGTGGGATAATTCTCCACACATCTGGTCCCAGAAGTCTTTTGTGTTGATTGTCATGATTGAGAGCAAAAACTGCTTTTCCATTCATATATCTCTTATCAGGTACAATATAAATCATTAAAAGACAGGTTTGCTGAAAGTACTTTAAAGAAAGCCCAGTGTAACTCCTGGCACATAGTAGTCACAAAACTTTCCAAGATAATGCATATAGTTATCTCATTCTTTCCAAATGGCTATATTATGCTACACTTCCTTTTTAAGAATGCAGCAAAATATATTTAAACATCACCTCTAATATAGGTCATTCAAGTTGTATGCTACTACAAGCAATGATGCAATAAATATACACATTATCTTTTACACTTTTGCCAATCTGTTAGATGAAAATTGGTATAATTTTGTTTTAATTTACATTTCTCTGATTATTAGGGATGTCAGGCACATTTCATGTTCATTGGCCATTATTTCTTTTATGTATTTTCTATTCATATCCCTTGACTATATTTCTACTGGATTGTCTTATTTTTTTGCAGAAGCTTTTCATACATAAATAGGAATCTTTTCTCTTTTATATTGGCTGTAAAATTTTCTCCTAGGTTGTCATTTATTTTTTAAATTTGACTATGGCGTTTTTACCATAATTTTGCAATCTGTTTTGAGTCTCACTCTGTTTACCCTGGCTGCAGTGTGGCGGCACAATCTCAGTTCACTACATCCTCCGCTTCCCAGGTTCAAGCGATTCTTATGCCTCGGTCTCCCGAGTAGCTGGGATTACAAGAGTGTGCCACCATGCCCGGCTAAATTTTGTATTGTTAGTAGAGATGGGGTCTCACCATGTTGGCCAGGCTGGTCTTGAACTCCTGACCTCGAGTGGTCTGCCCACTTCAGTCTCCCAAAGTGCTGGCATGAACCATAGTGACTGGCCATTTTTACATTTTTATGTTACTGAAATATAAAAATCTTTTCTTCTATGGCTTCTGTCTTTTGTGTCATATTTAGAAAGGTCCTCTAACCCAAGAGCTAAGAAACGTTCTCCAAATCTTCATGATTTTTTGGTTTTGTTTTCCTTATATATCTTCAAAAGTAAAGTATGTTTGTGAATAGTGTCATATAAGAATCTAAATTTTTAATGTTAAAGTTATTGATGGATTAAAAAATACATATAGCAGTCATAAATTCATAAGGTAACTAGTTATGAAAAGATATAACAGAAACAATCTGAAATGTCACATTTTCGTGCACTATGTATACAAACACACACACAGGGAATCTTTTTGGACTCTACTTAGTTTCATTAATCTGTTTGTTTAGTTTTGAGCTAATACAACATAGTTCATTCGGAGAAAATTCACCTCAGAAGGTAAGCTTCATGAGGGCAACCTACCTATCCCTTAGAGATGATTAAATGAGTTAATACATGAAAGCAATTGGAATAATTCCTGGCATATAATAAGAGCTCTCCAAATGGTTATTATTAAAGCCCAGCTCTACCATCATACTGCATTTTAAGACCATCTTTGGTGGCTGCTTTTTCTTTTTTTTAAGACGATGTCTCACTTTGTTGCCCAGCCTGGAATGCAATAGTGCTATCTCAGCTCACTGCAACCTCTGCCTCCCAGGTTCAAGTGATTCTCCTGCCTCAGCCCCCCAAGTAGCTGGGATTACAGGCGCGTGACACCATGCCCAGCTAATTTCTGTATTTTTAGTAGAGACAGGGTTTCACCATCTTGGCCAGGCTGTTCTTGAGCTCCTGAACTTGTGATCCACCCACCTTGGACTCCCAAAATGTTGGGATTACAGGCATGAGCCACTGCGCCCGGCTGGTTGCCTTCTTATATCTTTGGTTCACAACTATATTTCTAGTGGCTAGAGCAGTGCCTGGCATGTAGCAGATTTTACTAAATATATGCTGAAAGAATGAATTAATGCACAAACCTCAAGCATTCTGAGCCTTAATTTCTTGACTTTCTGGTTTTCCCCTTGTTACAATACAGAAAGCTCAGATTTCTGGTTGGAAGCCTCTCTAAAGTAAAATAGGCTCAAAACTGTTTGTGCCCTCCAGGCCACCATAATAAAACATCACTAAATCATTATTGTCATTATCAAACGTGTAGAGCAGTATGGTGGATGTAGGGGACACAAAGATTCTACACAAGACATACTCTCTGCTATTGTTCTGGTTGGGAAAGAAAAGTATGTATATGTACATGTGTATATACACACATTAAAATAATATACTTAAGAAATCAGGTATATAAGATAATATAGATAAGAATACAGAGAAGTCAGAGGACTGGGCTTCTCTGAACCACTTTTCTTGGCTGTAAACAAAATAGCAATTCCTACCTCCTAGAATGATTCCAGATTTAGAAGAGAAGACAGCCACCAAAGATGGCTTAAAATGTAGTATAACTGTAGACCTGGGCCTTAAATAATAACCATTTGGAGATCTCTTACTATGCACCAGGAATTGGTCTATTTGCTTTCATGTATTAACTCATTTAATCATTTCAACAACTCTAAGGAACAGGTACTATTATTTTTTCCTCAATTTGAACAATGAGCATACTAAAACTCTAGAGAATGTAATTAGCTGACACAAAGCCACACTATTAGGTATGAAGAGGGATTCAAACTGGAGCCACCATCTGGCTTAAAGCACTTAACTACAATATGAAACAGCCTCAGTACCCCTTCAAAGGGCAGGAATTACAGACAGGTTGCACAGTCACCTACCCAATAATCAATTGACAAGTGTGCCTAAGGCAGAAGTGAGGGAGTGCAGTTTGATTTCGTGAATACTCTAAAAAAACCACCTGTTATGGAAACCGTCTGTAAACTTTCTCTTGTTTCTCCTCAAATTCAACACTTCTCCCCATCTTTACATTAAATTCGTGAACTTTCACACAAAAAGATAATTATTTATCGATTTTAACGCTACTACCCTGTTGCCAGGCCACCGGTTCCGGCCCAGCCTTGATTCTTTGGGAATCACGTCCCTGTCGCCCGCCGGTTACTGCCTCCACCGATCACTATGAGGAAAATAAAAGGAAATTCAGTGCGATCCTGTTGCGTCTGATCCCAAATGCCTGCAGTTCCTATCTCCGAATCCTATTCCCCCTCCTCCCCCGCCCCCAAACATCCCCGTCTCCAGTCCTAAGACCACAGGAAACTTCCTCTGGCATAAAAAGGTCAGAAAATGGTAACTGAGGTAACAGCCTCGCTCCCAGTCAGGTCCAATGACCGAAATTCTGGGCCCGCAGGATTCCTTTACTCCAGATTATAGACCCGGCTTTCGCGCTACCAGGCCTTGGACAAGACAATAGGCCCTGTGCCCGGACACTGCCCTTCCGCAGGCCTCAGTTTTTACACCACATCTCCACAGAATGGGCGTGAGGGCAGGCCGATTCTCCCCTTAAGAGCTCCCACAGGCCGGCTGACTCGGTCCAGGAGCCTGGGGTCTTGGGCTCCGGGTAGGCGCTCTGGGGCCCTCTACTTCCCCAGCCACCACCTCAGATCAGTTACCTCATCATCGCTTTGCGTTTTTCCACGAAAGAACCCGGCACCCACGCCGCACCACAGCGCCGCGGCCTTCCCAGGACAGCTTGCGTCGCGACGCGAGTAGGGGCCTGGAATCGGGACTAGGGCCTTGGAGCCAAGGGGCGGGGCGTCCTTTGCCAAGAAGCCAATAAGAACGCGAGACGCGCTCGGTGGGGCGGTGCGCGTCGGGCGAGGGGTGGAGTCTGTGGTGACTAGGCTGGTGGGATCGAGTACAGTTGCTTTAGGCTGAGGTGGCAGATAGTGAACGCCAGTGGCGGAGGCAAAGTCAGAGCAGAATTGTAATGATGAATAGCGCAGCGGGATTCCCACACCTAGACCGTCGCGAGCGGGTTCTCAAGTTAGGCGAGAGTTTCGAGAAGCAGCCGCGCTGCGCCTTCCACACTGTGCGCTGTGAGTGAGGACGGCCCAGGGTAGAGGGGGAGCCTCCCACGATGGGAGTAAAGAGGCACAAACCCCTCTGTGTTTTGTTCCCACGGTCCGCCTTACACTGTTGGAGACTGGCGAGTGGCCGGGGAGGAAGGGCGGGGGCCAGCGCGGTCCTCTACTCTGCACAGAGTCTTAGGGGGTCGGTGGAAGGAATCAGAGTCGAGCAAATTTGGGTAAACCCTGGGAAGAGAGCGTTGAGACCAACAGATAGGAAGGGAAAGTGTGGAAAAAGTCTGCAGAGGTGACTGTGGAGACCGACGTAACAGGTGGATGATGCAAGGGTGGACAGAAAAATATTAAGGTGACAAATGGGAAGGGACTAAGGACCGAATGCCAGGAAGTTGAATGCCTTAAGGCTGGTGGGGCAATATTCTCTGTTTTCTTCACTTTTTCTCACCTCTGGGATTTAGGGTTCTTATTTAGTGCGTTCTTTGCAAGGGGAGAAATTCTCAACCATTCCAATGATCTGTATCTCTTTAGACCCCAGATTTCACTCAGTTATCAAATACTGATTATCAAAGTATTCGAGGATGTGTTATTAATTTCTTTATTTAGAAGATGTTTACCTCCCTATGATTTCTGTCCTTTGGTTTTCTTTAGTGCAAACTGGTTTTAATAAAGTATTCTTTAGTGGAACTAGTTTTAATAAATTATTCTCTTTTACGTTGTTGAAGTAGAAAATGGAGCTCTTTTGCTTTAACAGTTGGATGATATAGATTCCAGGAAGGAAAATATAGCAATAAGTTTTTATGCGTAAGACATTCATTTTTTGCATAACAGCTGTCATAGAATTGTAGAGCGGGAAGGAAACTTCGAAATCACTGAATCATAACCTCTCATTTTTCTGTGGTAAAAATGTAAAGTAAGTATTTTTTCACTTCCTTCCCCTAGCCTTGCCCTTCCTTAATATCACATCTTTCCACGTTTCTCGGTCATTCTGTCCTCAAGTTGTTTAGAGACCTTTATGGTTTTTACTCTGAAATATTCCATGGTTCAATCAAAACAACTAATTAAAACATACATTCTCCCAAAAGTTTATTTAAGTTTTAGACAATTTAGTTAAATTACTCAGAGTAAAGGTATGAAGAACCACTGGTTTTAACCTTGCAAGAATATATTTACTAAAAGGGTTTTATTAAGCAAAATTAACATCCATTTGGTAGAATAAATGGGGGAGATATTTGTGAACAGAAAATCTTCAACCGTGTTCCTCGTTTATTCTTCTTTATCCTATACTCTCTCATGCAGAGCTCCCCACAGTGAAATAGTGCTGTGCTGGCTCTGCAGTTTCTCTCTCCCTTCAGTCCCAATTTCCAGAAGTGTGATATGGGTCTTTAGATAAAGACTTTTTCTCAAATAGTGTCTCCTCTCTCCTTTTCCTTCCCAAGTATGCAATAGTCTTAGTATTAATTTTTCAAGTTACAAGGGTTTAAGATTATAAAAATTTGCTTAAGAATGTATTTCTGTATGATTTGGGTATGTATTCTCTTATTTAGGCCACAAACCCCAAATTAAATGAATAAAAAATTGACTTTGAAAATAATCTTGCAGGTGCTTCAAAGCCTTTCATTTATAAAGGTTCTTAAAATGCCAGTATCTTGAAAGTCAGAGGATTAGATGATCCAGCTACAAGAATGAAAATAAACAAAACAACAATAATGATAATAATAAATAAACATAGATGTTTCAATACACTGTCCTGTGGAAAACAGGACTATTAGATTTTCAGTTCTTATTTTATGTTGTTGTTGTCATCGAAGCAGGTGTAGTAATGGCACAGAATCATTTTAGATTTATATAAATAGAACTGGTCATTATTCTTGAGGACAGGTTCATTTCCAATGTAATCCTCACTCTTAAGAACTCAGAGTGAGGGATGAAAACTATGGAATAGTATGAAGCTGATCTTCATACAGATAAGGTGGACCTACTTTATAACCAACCCTCAAGCAAATGTCATCCGGGAGAAACTAATATTCTGTCTTTATTTATAGGAGCAATTCTACCTGTCTGACATAAAACTTCAGCCAAACCTGGATGTGAATCCTGGCCTCCACCATCTATATATGAAATGTGATTTTGGGAACATTCTCTAAGCTCTCAGCCTTAGTTTTCTTATGGCTCAATGATAATAATAATGTTTATATTTCATGGTTTTTGTAAGGATTAAATAAGATAGCATAAACAACCTGGCACAATATGTGCCACAGGGTAGAGAAAAAATAGTAGTCACCATTAATGTTGAAGAGTTATATTCCTATGTGTATGAGGGGTGCTAATGAATGTAATTTAGTCAGACTTTGAAACAGCATTTATCAGGGTTTAGCAATAAAACTATCAAAAAGGTAGTCTGGCATGTGGTAGGAGGGGCATGGTATGCTCTATCAATGATAAACTAAATGCTTAGCAACAGATGCTTTACTGGGTAGAAGAGTTTCAATAACAGGACTCACTAAAATCAATTTTGAATTGGGAGTAGTACTAGTTTTACAATTTATATCCAGATAAGGGAATGTATTGTGAAATCCTAAGTTTGTAAATGATGTCACTTTTTTGTGTCCTTAAATGATAAACTAATGAGTAGTAGTGAGGGTTTTGGAGTTGGTTGAATTTATTCAAATCCCAGTAAATAAACTGATAATAATAATTGTGGATTCTTATGAAAATATTGATATAACGTGATGCTACAGCCAAAATAGTCAGAAAAGCAATAAACATTGGCAGAAAAAATGTTAAATACAAAGTAGAAAATTATTTTCTACTCTTCATGCAATATAATAAATAATTCCATTGTACACCTGAAGAAAACAGCATAGATGAAAAACATCCAGAGAGAATAAATAAATGGTAAAGTTGGTGGTAGGGTTTTCAAACCAAGGAGAAGTGAGAAGTGAACTATTTAGTCTAGAATCATAGCAACTTAGAAGAGAATACATTTGACATTTAGAAGCATACAGAAAGCATAAACATGAGCTTATTCAACAAATTCTTTAATTCTAGAACTAAACTACTTGAAACTCAGAAGTTTAATACTTTAAAAAATGTTCAACCCATAATTTTGTTGTGAAGATTAAAATTGATAGTATATTGTAAAGAAAAAAATTACTTCATAAACACTAAAACAGAGGTTGTAGATTATTAGCATATAGGCTGAGCTTGACTTTAGAAAAGCTTATTTTGGTCCACGCCTTTGTTGTTTTATCTTGAGTTAGTTGCAAACACCTAACATTCAGGACCATTTATATAAAAATCTAGATTTTCAGCTTATCTTTAAAAGTCAGATGGTAAGCTGGCAACATTGAACCCATATCTTCTCTTGGCAGCAGTTGTGAGATTGGGCTTATTCGTCCTCTGTGTCACTATGATTCCCATTGGTCAGCTTCACTGCCTGGGTTACCTTGCTGGCCTCTAAAGCATCATTTAGCTGTAGTTAAATGACAACCATATCTTCCAGTATTTCCCTTTGTGCCACTGTGAGAAAAATATTAGAAGTTAGAGGGCTATGGTTTTATTCGGCATGTCATTTCTAAGGTTTTAAATATTTATCAGAGAAAATTCTTTATTGTCAAATATTAATAATGGATGCTGTCTATGAGAACAGAAGTATATTAGTGAAAAGTACGCAAGAAAAATGGCAGTCTACCCTAAAGAGATTAAGAGTTTTGAAGTAGAGATGAATCCGACCCGCAGAAAATAATTAGAAAACAAGCATTTTACACATAATTTAACACCTTATATATATACTTAAAATAAGTTTAGAAGTAATTCACAGAAGGGTGAACATTGTGAACCTGAATGAACTACACGATCTCTTGTATATCCATTACATTAAAGGCACTGTGCTAGAGCCACTATCTGGAGGAATTAAAATATGAGTCACTGTGCTTTAAAAAATTACAATCTAATAGGACATGTCCACAAAAAGGTAAATAATAGGCCAGGCATGGTGGTTCACACCTGTAATCCCCGCACTTTGCGAAGCTGAGGCGGGTGGATCAGGAGGTCGAGTGTTCAAGACCAGCCTGGCCAACATGGTGAATCCTCATCTCTACTAAAAATACAAACATTAGCTGGGTGTGGTGGCAGATGCCTGTAATCCCAGCTATTCGGGAGGCTGAGGCAGAAAATTGCTTGAACCCGGGAGGCAGAGGTTGCTGTAAGCCAAGATTGCGCCACTGCGTTCAGCCTGGGCAACAAAGCAAGACTCGTCTCAAAAAAAAAAAAAAAGGTAAATAATATCAGGTCGTTTCTGTTAGGTCTTGATTAATGGTATAGTAAATGCTACAGGAATGGAGAATAAATTGAGATTCTGGAGAGTAGGAAAAGGACTGTACCCTGAAGTGGCTTTGAAGAAGAAGGGACTTTGAAATAGAATTCAAATTCTAAGAGAGCAAAAGGATACAGAAAAGCAGAAGGGCAGACCATAGGTATTCCAGTAGTTTAGCTGATTGAAAACTAGCTTGTCCACAGCAAGAGTGGAAGGGGATGGCTTTGAAAAATATTAAAGAGGTTATAATAATTAAACAATGACGGACACAGGAGTATTTTAGATTGATGAGCAGAACGTTGAAGGATAGTTGAAATTAGAAAGTGAGGATAAAGTGACTCACACCTGTTATCCCAGCACTTGGGAGGCTGAGGCAGGTAGAACACTTAAGGCCAGGAGCTCAAGACCAGCCTGGCCAACATGATGAAACCCCATCTCTACCAAAAATATAAAAAATTAGCTGGATGTGGTGGTGCGTGCCTGTAATCCCAGCTACTCTGGAGGTTGAGGCAGGAGAATCACTTGAACCCAGGAGGCAGAGATTGCCATTAGCTGAGATCGTGCCACTGCACTCCAGCCTGTGGGACAGAGTGAGAGAGACTCTGTCTCAAAAAAAAAAAAAAAGAAAAAAAGAAAAAAGAAAGTTGAGGATCAACAAAGTCCACTAGTGTGGGCACCCACATAGGGCATGATGATAACTTACTTATGAATAGTGAAAGATTTTATGTGGCAGTTACTTCATTTCTACTGTGTATATCCATATAAAATGACTTTGGTTCTTATTTTAGATTCACAAATGGTATTTGCTAGCCAAAACTAAAGCTTTTTTTCTCTCTTTGTTGACATTGATATATCTTGTCCAACCTCTCATCTTTTTATTCTAACTGAATTTTCTAGTTCTTTTTTTCTAGCTTTAGAAAACATTAGTTGCATGATCTTGGGCAAGGAACTTAATTTTTTTCCACCCTCACTCCCCTTATCTGTAAGATAGGGATAGTCACTGCTTTTCAGGATTGGTGTGAAGCTTCAAAGTAAAAATATCAGGAAAAACATTTAAAATTGATCAGCATGTAATAGCTGTTATTATTGTTTTGTTCATATCTGTTGTTCATTCTCTTAGATTTTCTGGCTTTTCTCCTACTTTATCTCTGTGATACTTACTCAAGTTCAGTTCTATTAATTTTTTTCCCTCAATTGCACTGTCCTTTCAACAATTGGTATTAATAATTATTTCCTTCAGTGTAAACCCTCTTTCAAGCATCTAAAGCTTAACACCTTAATTATACCTTTCATTTTTCTCCCCTTGCCACTATTAACAAACTCCTCAATTTATTTTCAGTCTAACCTTTATCCTTTGATTCTTCAGTTATACTTTCTAGTGATACATTGTAAATCAAAACTCTTACACATTTTTCATATTGCTTATGTTATTTTTATATCTGTATCTTAAAATTTATGAATAAGCATCAAAATTTTAAGAGATAGTTATTACATCTATTCAGTTTTGAATTAAAGCAGCATGAAGAATAAACTATTATAAAAATATTTTCTGGAAATTTATATTCATTTACATTTATGTTTATTTAAGGAATAGAGGAATAGATTTAATTTTTTTGAGAGTTGTTATGAGAAGTAAATATGAAGTGTTAAGCATGGTGCCTGGCATGTAGTAAGTGTTCCATAAATGTCAGCTATTTTAATTGTCATTGTGAAGCAGGGCCAGCCTTTGTTTATTGACAGAGCAATAATTTGATGAGTGTTGGAAGATTCTCCTTTTCCAAGATTTGCTAATTATAGTTCCCTAAGTTCCACTTATAAATATCTATTACTTTGGATTAAGACTTTTTGCCTTTGGGGCCTTTTTGTTAATATGAAGATGAATCTTTTGGAACTACACATAACTGGAAGGGGCCTCTATGAAGCTGGTAATGTTCTATTTCTTCATTTGGTTGGTGGTTACATGTGTCAATTTGTAAAAGTCAAAGCTTAATTTCTGTTCTCTTTTGCATGATACAATATTTTAATAAGGAGTTAATGTAAATATACCATGGGGAGCTATATAGCAGAATTCTTAGTCACTGATGTATATTGATATGAAATAGTTTTAAATGACTTTAGTTACTTAGAGGTTTTTAAGATTGTTTAACAAGTGGAATATCTTAGTACCCTGAATTCCTTCTAGATGATAGATAGTAATGGCATCATTTGAACTATGATTTGACTCAAAATTAATTTTTATTTTAAGGTCTTCTAAAGTGACAAAGTTGGTTAAATTATAATCATTTAGTGGTGTATATATTCATGAAAAAACTGTTAAACTAGAAAGATTACTTTTTCTTAAGTTTCTTCATTAATATGTACTGTATTTGCTATGTATTCATTCATTTTGTTCTGCTAGAATAACAGACAAGTGGTAGTAGGCATCAAAGGTGCTTCAAAAAAATTTCACGGGCCAAAATTCATGAACTAAGTCTACAGCCATTAAAAATAACATAAAACGGCCAAGTGCAGTGGCTCACACCTGTAATCCCAGCACTTTGGGCAGCCAAGGCTGGCGGATCACCTGAGGTCGGGAGTTTGAGACCAGTTTGACCAATGTGGAGAAACCTCGTCTCTACTAAAAAAAAAAAAAAAAAAAAAAAAAAAAAAAAATTAGCCGGGCGTAGTGGTGAATGCCTGTAATCCCAGCTACTCAGGAGGCTGAGGCAGGAGAATTACTTGAACCCAGGGGGTGGAGGTTGCGGTGAGCCGAGATTGTGCCACTGTACTTCAGCCTGGGCAACAAGAGTGAAACTCCGTCAAAAACAAAACAAAAGATAAGAAAGAAAAATGTATAGGGAAAAAGGACTGAAAATTGAAAACATTCTACTTGCATCAGTTTTGTAGCAAGTTGTGAAAACATGGACATTATTTAGTTTTTAGCAGTAGGATATGTCAGTCCCCTTCATCTTGGTCTAAACAGGATTCTAAGAGAGCATGAATGTGAGTAATTCTGTTTTAGAGTATAGCTATTTCTTTTTTCTCAGAATTATGCACACAGAAATACACTACATTGTATTTTGTTTGTTCATTTGTAATAGGAAGACTTTAAACAATTTGTAATTAAACACTTTTAATTACAAAGTTCTTGAAAAATGGTTTATCATTCCAAAACATGCTCATAATTTTTATATCCAAATATTGTTATATTTTATAAAAATTGGTATTTGTATCTATTTTTAGATGACTTCAAACCTGCTTCTATTGACACTTCTTGTGAAGGATACCTTGAGGTGGGTGAAGGTGAACAGGTGACCATAACTCTGCCAAATATAGAAGTGAGTATTTCTGCATATTTAAGGTGATCATTTTTGTGAGATTCTTAGTAAATTTAAATGAAAAAAATTGCACAATTCATGAAGTGATAATTGGTTAAAGTAATTAATAAGCACAGCAAAGCAAAAGCCATATTTTAAACTACTTTAAGCAAAAAAAAAAAACTCAAAATACTTTAGTCCATTTAATAGTTCCAAGAACTATCATAGCAAGTGATTTGAAAAAAATTAGAGGTCTAACCAAATATTTAATAAATTCCTATTATAAGCCAGGTTGTATACACTGACCTTAGGATAATAACATATCCCTTGCCTTCTAGTCCTAATCTTTTACAGCAGACAGACACATAAGCATCTAGTGTTATAAGTTAGAGCATATACAAAATTATGTGTAACCACATTAGAAGCAAATACTCTGCCTGCTGGAATCTTGAAAAGCTTCATTAAGCAAGCAATATTTCAGCTGAGCCTTTAAAGGACAAGTAGGATTTTATTGGGTAGACAAAGAGTAGAATATCTAGGCAAACCAAATAGTGGGTGAAGGGCTCTGATGCTGAAAGAACAAAGAGTTTGTGGAATAAGTGACTTTACATAGTAAATCATAGTATAACGAAAAATGGGCCAGGTATGGTGGCTCACACCTATAATCCCAGCACTTTCAGCGGCCAAGATGGGTGGATCCCTGAGGCCAGGAGTTCAAAACCATAGTGAAACTCCATCTCTACTACAAATACAAAAATTAGTTGAGTCTGGTGGTGTGCACCTGTAATCTCAGCTACTCAGGAGGCTGAAACAGGAGAATCACTTGAACCCAAGAGGCGGAGGTTGCAGTGAGCTGAGATCATGCCACTGCACTCCCACCTGGGTGACAGAGCAAGACTCCATCTCAAAAAAGAAAAAAAAAAAAGAAAGAAAAAGAAAAATGATTGATAGCAACAGAGACTAGAAAAGTAGGTCAGGATCAAATTGTGAAGGATATTTTATGTTATAGAATTTGGACTCTTTCTCATAGCTATTAAAAAACCACTAGAAATTTTAATACAGAGAGGTAATGTGATTGTATTTGTTAGATTAGAAAATCTCTTTCTTTTTACACTCCTCAAACTGCATCTGAAACTCCAGTGATTAGAATTCTAATGATTAGATTGTGTTTTTGAAAGAATTTCAGCCATAGTTTGAAGAATGGTTTTAAAAAGAAAGAGACTTTGTCAGGGAGGCCCTAACCAAAAGTTTTGTCCATTTAAAAATTTCCGTATGTATCCAAGTAATGGTACCAAATACTATTTGCATAAAAATACAAGTTATTTGTTGTATGCTCTGGTTTTCTTAGTCCTTGAGTTAGAAATTTCTGAGTATCCAGCTTAAGTTTTTCTTTTCTTTTATACTGACTTTGTCTATTCTCAGAAAAAAATCAAGACTGTAACTTTATACTTTAATATGTTTAAAAAATGCTGGATTTTTTTGAGATTTTTTGTTTTGTTTTGTTTAATTTTTGTAATAGGAGTGGTTTTGTGCTAGTCCATCCACATTCTGCTTTATGCATTAATGAGATGGCTTACTATGGTTATAGGTATAGCAAGTAAACTCTCTGTCCTCTCATCTGCTATCTTTTTCTTATTTTTATCAGTTAACCATTTATTGAAAGCCCACTGGTATGTCATACTATATCAGTTACGGTCTCTGGAGATTTTCTTAAGGCTATTTAAATTTGTGGGGGCTTTCTACTGAATATTTCCACTTCTTCTTTCTGGAACTGAAGGAAATGAAAAATCTGTTTAGTATGAGATGTTGTGAATAAGTCAAACTTTATATTACTCTGTTATGAAAAATTGTTCAAATTCTAGTAGCTGTAAAACAATTTGGAAATTTAGTCTCTGGTAACCAAGGCTTCTTTGCTTTATGACGTTTATTAAAGAAAAACCTAAACCAACCACTGATTTTTAAAAGTTTAAAGCCTCACATTAGCAACAGGAACCATCATGCCATTGCACTCTAGCCTGAGCAAAGAGAGCAAAACCCAGTCTCAAAAAAAAAAAAAAAAAAAAGGAAAATAGGAACCACTAGTCTATTGTCTCAGGCTATATAGTATTATTCATCAGTAATAATTGATTGGCAGAATCACTTTAGTTGGATTTTTTTTTTTTTTGCCAAGTAGAATATTGTTTTTTCAAGTTGCCATCCTCCTGTCCTAATCCTTTACATTGCTCTTCTACTCTAAACAAATGAGGATTCTTAAGTTTAATAATAAACCCTTGTCATTCATTCATATCTTGCTTTAACCAAGAGTTACCATCTTTCACGTTTTTGGTTATGGTTTCAATTGAAATGCCTCCTAAAGGAAGCACAGTTATAGGAGGCCTATATTTTCAAGCCAGCAAATTGTAAATTTCAGAAATTGTAAATAAATCATTTGGGAAAAAGCCACTACTGCCACCACCACCCCTTTCCACAAGCCCCCAGAGATATGTCCAAAAAAGAATATGCCTCAGTATTTGTGTGTGTGTATATGCATGGACATTCTGTGTGATAAGCCCTGTTTTAGGTAGCTGCCACTGGGAATACAGAAGTAAACTAGACACAGTCAGTATCCTGAAACATTTTATCATTTAATGGGAGAGACAGGAAATAACTGATTAAAACCTGGAAATCTAAGAACTATCAAAATATATACATAGATATTGTAGAAACAGGAAGGAGATATCTCAACCAGGGTACAGGGGGGAGACATCAGGAAACACTGAGTTTTGAAGATGAGTTAAAGTTACCCAGGTGAAGGAGAGAGGGAAAGATATTTTAGTCAGAGAAAAGAAAAAGACATGGACTAAGATACAGCAACAAAAAAAAAGTTTGTTAAACATTTGAAGGACTACATATAATACCTAGTGGCATATATGTAGTTACATATGTAGGCATATATATATGGTAGGTCAGAAGGGGTATATATGAGAACAAGGTGGGTGATAGATGATATTTAGGAATAAGATTAGTAAAGGGTCTAATATATAATACAAATTAATTTTAACTCATTTAAACAGTGAGAATCAAAGACTTATTTAGATCACCACCTGTCAAAAGCAAATATTGTTTCTTCTGGGCATGTAGTCCTTGAACAATTATGAATAACAATGAAAATTACATTCTCAAATAGACTTTGTGAAGGGTTTCCCCCTTCACTTAAAGAACATCTTTAAACAAATAGGACGTTTGCTTTTCTTCAGTGTTCTTAATTCTGTTGGTATTTTGTGGAAATGTAATGGTAATTAGCCATTTAGATTCTTCTATTTTATTTTTCATTCAAGAGAATTAAATCATTTATTGATTACACATGATAATGGATAATACACAAGCTTCATTCCCATCTATAATTTTATCTGGTACCATTATTCAATTTAGACATATTGCATAGGATGTGCCAACAATCATTTTTATAACCAATAATTCCATGATTTTGCTTGGGTAATCCTTTTTTTTTTTTTGAGACAGAGTTTCGCTCTTGTTACCCAGGCTGGAGTGCAATGGCGCAATCTCGGCCCACCGCAAGCTCCGCCTCCTGGGTTCATGGAGGAAATTGCCTCCATGAGGCAATTCTCCTGCCTCAGCCTCCTGAGTAGCTGGGATTACAGGCACGCACCACCATGCCCAGCTAATTTTTTATATTTTGAGTAGAGACGGGGTTTCACCCTGTTGACCAGGATGGTCTCGATCTCTTGACCTCGTGATCCCCCCGCCTCAGCCTCCCAAAGTGCTGGGATTACAGGCGTGAGCCACCGCGCCCAGCTGGGTAATCCCTTTTAATGGTGAACTTCAGGTCACAACAGTAACTATCAGTTCAACTACACCAAGGTTTCTGAAGACAATGGCTTCTCCACCCAAGCAGGTTGTGTATAAATTCCAAATAGAACCTGGCATCACCCTGAAAGAATTCTAACTTCACACTGTTGGGGAAATTTACCAAGATGGCTTCAGAGTAGACTAACTTTACACAGCACATTAAAAAAAAAGACATTTATTCATTGTCACAATCAGACTATTACATTTAGCAATCAACAGCATGGGTGCAAAAAAAAAAAAAATCTACATTAAAACCATGGTCCTTAAGTTTTTGCCCATACACATGAGTATTTGTGTCACAAATACAGTCCTCGAGTTTTTTGCCCATATACATATTTATCTAAAACATGTCTTGTTTGTATGCAGCTAGGCCTTGCCACCACTGTGCTTGACTGAGTTCACAAATCTGTTGTAACCTGTAGCTTCCCTGTCACTTCTCTGACTCTTCTCTCCTGCTAAGCTTTGTTTCCTAAATAAAATCTTCTGCCACTGTCATAGCTACTGCTGCTACTGGAACCACCATAGCCACCTTGGTTTCATGATTTGCAAAGAATTGGCCTCTACCACCATAGGGGCCAGAGCTTCTGCCTCCAAAGCTTCCTCCCTTCATGGGTCCAAAATTTAAAGACTGATTGTTGTACTTGCCAAAATCATTGTAGCTTCTACCACCTCCAAAATTTCTTCCATCATTACCAAATCCATTATAGCAATCCCCACTGCCACCATATCCATCACTGTCACAGCTGCCACCAAAGCCATCATGACCACTGAAGTTTCCTCCATGACCAAAGTTGCCATTTCCACTGAAACCACCTCTACGACCACCACCAAAGTTTCCAGAACCATTTCGACCTCTTTGGCTGGATGAAGCACTAGCCATCTCTTGCTTTGACAGGGCTTTCCTAACTTCACAGTTGTGGCCATTCACAGTATGGTATTTCTGAATGACAGTCTTATTCACGGAGTCTTGGTCACCAAAGGTTACAAAGACAAAACCCCTTTTCTTGCCACTGCCTCAGTTGGTCATGATTTCAATCACTTCTGTTTTTCCAAACTGTTCAAAATCTCTTAGGTGATGTTCTTCAGTGTCTTCTTCAATGCCACCAACAAATATTTTTCACAGTTAAGTAGGTACCTGGTCTTTGAGAATTTTTCTCTTGAGACAGCTCTGTTTGGTTCCACAACTCTTCCATTCACCCCATATGGCCTTACATTCATGGCTGCATCCACCTCCTCCACAGTGGCACATGTGACAAACCCAAAGCCCCTGGAGCACTTGGTGTTTGGATCTCTCATTACCACACAGTCCATGAGCATTCCCCATTGCTTGAAATGGCTCCTCAGGCTCTCAACAGTTGTTTCAAAGCTTAAGCCTCCAATGAAGAGCTTTCTCAGCTGATTGGGCTCTTTAGTAGACTCTGACTTAGACATGACGGCAGGGTGAAGAGAAACTTTAATGAAGCTTCTTCGGTGGTGTCCACAGGCGGAAAAGTGATTCCTCTATTTCTGTATGAACTTGCTGTAATCATCCTGGTAAAACTGCCTAGGAAGCTTAGAGTCAGACCATAAAATATAGCTTTTATCATATTATAATTTTAAGAGTGTCTTTGGTTCTTTGATAGGGTAGAGTTTCTAATTCCATTTGTTTTGGGTTTCTATGATATTACCAAATAGAAAAAACTAATAAAAACAAAGACTGTTAGTCTGGTTAAATAGTGGGCATTTGCAAATCTCTCTTCCTTACAGACAATTCTCCACAATTGCTGTAAAATTTCAAAGGGTTGAATTTTGAAAGAAAAAGTTTTACTTAACTTGACTGTTAAGATTTGTCATTGGTTCAGAGATTGGCACGTTTTTAGCGTTGACTCTATCTTACGAGGTACTTCTGTGGGCTTTTATGAAATAGCGCACTGGAAACTTCTAACTATCCTTCTATTAGTCAGACAATGCATTTCTAGTGGTTACATATAATTTAGCCCTCAAATGCTACACCTGTGAGGCCCTTATATGTATGAGGGCCACTCCAGAGGACCCTCTTTGAACCTTGTCTGGTTCTCTCCAAAGGGTTTACTTAGCTGATACAGGAAAGTAGTCCACTACATTCTTGGGACCTCATCTGATTTTAGGATCAGAGTCCTATTTTAACATTCTTTTACAGTCATATTTTTTAATGAAGTATATCTTTGCTTATTACAAAATAAAATCTTTGTCCTATTTTGTGTTTTTAAGCTTAAGTGCCTACTTGAAATATATATGTGTATATCCAGCTTTCTTTCTTTTGTGTGTTCATAGAATCTTAGTCTCTTCCTTTTATTTAGCTGACATTTATATAACTACCTTTACTTTCTTTCGTTTGTGTATTCATAGAATCGTAGTGTATCTTCCTTTTATTTAGCTGGCATTTGGTATGAAGCATATTTTTTGTTAATATAATATACTGTTTTATTTTTAAACCCAGTTTGACACTTTCTGTTTTTATTGGGAAAATACTGTCTTTTCAGTCTATTCACATTTAGTTCAAAATTAATATACTTGATTTATAATTCTTTTATTTTGTAGTTTATTAATCTTTAAATATTTGTTGTTTCTTTTATATTCTTTATTAGTTTTACCAACCATTGCTTTTTTTTTCCTTTTGTCTTTTTTTTTTAATTCGGTTTTTGATTTTTTTTTTTTTTTACTCATTACTTTGGGAGTACTAGTATAATTTCCATTCCATTATTGATTATTTTCCTTTCCTGGTGTTCATAATGAGGCATATGATTTTATTTTCTTATATGAAAACTGGGCTCCTCCATTATTTCCTTACCTCCATCAAGTGAGATTTTTAGAATACATTTATTGTCCCTTAATAATAAGACATTTTCCTCCTCCCTTTCACTTCTCTTTCTTTCCACCTCAGCCAAATACCTAAGTTTTTGCCAAGATATTGTATTACATTGCAGAATATCTTGTCAAGAATACTTATTTAGCTCTTACATTATCATTCTCAGACAGTCTATTTTTATCCATTTTTAAAATTATTATTTTTACTTTTTGAGACAGAGTCTTGCTCTGTCACCCAGGCTGGAGTGCAGTGATGTAATCTTGACACACTGCAACCTCCACCTCCCGGGTTCAAGCAATTCTCCTGCCTCAGCCTCCCAAGTAGCTGGGATTACAGGTGCCTACCACCACGCCCGGCTAATTTTTTGTATTTTTAGTAGAGATGGGGGTTTGCCATGTTGATCAGGCTGGTCTCAAACTCCAGAACTCAGGTGATGCCTCCCAAAGTGCTGGGATTATAGGCGTGAGCCACCGCACTTGGCCAAGTCTATTCTTATCCATTTAAAGTAAAGTATATATAAATAGCCAGATTTCTTTTATCACTACTATTTTCTCTTCATTCCCTTATGTTGAAGTGTTGGTTCTGAGTCCTTTGTTGTATGGTTAAGAGTCCTTTCATTCACTCAAATAACATGTGCACTCACTTTTTAAATTTTATTTATTTTTTATAGGTAAGATCTCATTCTCTCACTCAGGCTGGAATGAAGTGGCACAATTATAGCCCACTGCAGCCTCAAACTCCTGGGCTCAAGCAATCCTCCTGCCTCAGCCTTCCAAGCAGCTAGTACTACAAATGTACACCACCACACCCAGCTAATTTTTAAATTTTTTGGTAGCAACCCTAGGTTGCCGATGCTATTCCGAAACTCCTGGGTTCAAGTGATCCTCCCACCTTAGCCATCCAAACTGGTGGGATTACATGCACGAGTCACCACACGTGGCCCACTCATTTATTTTATATTTTGTTTTACAGTTTTGTCTTTTGGTTGACCATCCTAAGTCAGTCATTCATGCAAACCAATTATAAGCAATTCTGTGTGGTTTGTAAACAGTGACAGATGGAGAAAGTTGGAGAATAGATAAGAAGATCATGGAGGACCCTATGTGCAGGTTTATGGAATATGGCTTTTATCCTGAATACACAGTTTTTTAAGTGCAGAAAGATTTTTGAGCATGGGAACAATAAGTTTAGATTTGCCTGCCTACAGAATGGGGAACAAAATTGGAGAGAGAGTAGGAAGGAAAATAACAATACTCTAGGTAAATAACAATTGAAGGTGGATAATTACAGTGAACATTGAGCTGATGGGAGGTATTCAATTGTTATTTAGAGGTAATGATAGTTCATATGCTTAGTATTATCTGGTACTTTAATAGTTGCCTTTCTTGGGGTATTTAATAAGGGAATGGACAGAAACGAAAGCTTAAAAGTTAGGAATGGTGCTCAATTTAATAAGGGAGAAAGTTTACATTTATAAAAGTTGTTCAAAATGTAGAAGGCTGGTGTAGAGATTATGAGAAATTTGTTTAATTTGTTACTTATGACCAGAAATTGTCTATATTGTTCGTATTTAACATTTATTGTATATTTATAAAGGTTTTAGTACTTCAGGTGCTGAGAACACTTTTTAAATAGTAATGATTAGTTCCTATTTTCAGGAGCTCAGAGAACAATAATATATTGTAATTGTAATTTTTAGATTTATTCCATTCTAAGTAAAACTACAGCTATCATTAAGAAGAATATGTTACACAAATCTCTCATCAACTGTAATTTGGAGTCCTTAGGCAACTATTTTGGGGAATCTTACTTGTTTCAGTCAACACATCTGAAAAATGTACTTAACCAGCCAAGTAGACCCACTTTGTTTTCTTATGATCATGCTCCTGACTCTTCCCCAGGGCTTCAAGTAAGTGCTCCACATCTAACCATTTTAGAGCTAGCCCAGACATGTCTCCATCTATGGGTTGTATATTCTTGATTTTATGTAGATTAGTTTAGTCTTTGGGAGAGGTAAAAAAAAAAAAAAAAAACCTCACAAAAAACTATTCCTTTATTTTACATTTATAGTTTTTTCTCTGCACCTTCTGAAATCTCTAACCTACCCATCTTTTACAGCATTTTCAATTACCAAATTTATCTCATACTCCTCCTAGTGGTCATTTAGTAAATCTCTAGTGATTAACTTTAACATGATATGCCCTTTAGTCTTTTTATTTGTTTATTTCTTTATTATTTAATTATTTATTTTTATTGCATTTTAGGTTTTGGGGTACATGTGCAGAACATGCAAGATAGTTGCATAGGTACACATGTGGCAGTGTGATTTGCTGCCTTCCTCACCTTCACCCACATCTGGCATTTCTCCACACGCTATCCTTCTGCAGCTCCCCCCTCCACTGTCTCTCCCCTATTCCCCCCAATAGACCCCAGTGTGTAGTGCTCCCCTCCCTGTGTCCATGTGTTCTCATTGTTCATCACCCGCCTATGAGTGAGAACATGCGGTATTTCATTTTCTGTTCTTGTGTCAGTTTGCTGAGAATGAAGTTCTCCAGATTCACCCATGTCCCTACAAAGGACACGAACTCATCGTTTTTGATTGCTGCATAATATTCCATGGTGTATATGTGCCACATTTTCCCAGTCAAGTCTATCATCAATGGGAATTTGGGTTGGTTCCAGGTCTTTGCTATTGTAAACAGTGCTGCAATGAACATTCGTGTCCATGTGTCCTTATAGTAGAACGATTTGTAGTCCTTTGGATATATACCCAGTAATGGGATTGCTGGGTCAAATGGAATTTCTATTTCTAGGTCCTTGGGGAATCGATACACTGTCTTCCACAATGGTTGAACTAATTTACACTCCCACCAGCAGTGTAAAAGTGTTCCTATTTCTCCACATGCTCTCCAGTATCTGTGGTCTCCAGATTTTTTAATGATCGCCATTATAACTGGCGTGAGATGGTATCTCAATGTAGTTTTGATTTGCATTTCTCTAATGACCAGTGATGATGAGCATTTTTTCATATGTTTGCTGGCCTCATGTCTGTCTTCTTTTGTAAAGTGTCTGTTCATATGCTTTGCCCATTTTTGAATGGGCTTGTTTGGTTTTTTCTTGTAAATCTGTTTGAGTTCTTTGTAAATTCTGGATATCAGCCCTTTGTCAGATGGGTAGACTGCAAAAATTTTTTCCCATTCTGTTGGTTGCTGATTCACTCTAATGACTGTTTCATTTGCCGTGCAGAAGCTGTGGAGTTTGATTAGGTCCCATTTGTCTATTTTGGCTTTTGTTGCCAATGCTTTTGGTGTTTTGGTCATGAAGTCCTTGCCTACTCCTATGTCCTGAATGGTTTTGCCTAGATTTTCTTCTAGTGTTTTTATGTTGCCAGGTCTTATGTTTAAGTCTTTAATCCATCTGGAGTTAATTTTAGTGTAAGGTGTCAGGAAGGGGTCCAGTTTCTGCTTTCTGCACATGGCTAGCCAGTTTTCCCAACACCATTTATTAAACAGGGAATCCTTTCCCCATTGCTTGTTTTTGTCAGGTTTATCAAAGATTGTATGGTTGCAGATATGTTGTGTTGCCTCCGATGCCTCTGTTCTATTCCATTGGTCTATATCTCTGTTTTGGTACCAGTGCCATGCTGTTTTGATTACTGTAGTCTTGTAGTATACTTTGAAGTCCAGTAGTGTGATTCCTCCTGTTGTGTTCTTTTTGCTTAGAATTGACTTGGCTATGTGGGCTCTCTTTTGGTTCCATATGAAGTTTAAGGTAGTTTTTTCCAGTTCTGTGAAGAAGGTCATTGGTAGCTTGATGGGGATCGCATTGAGTCTGTAAATTACTTTGAGCAGTATGGCCATTTTCATGATATTGATTCTTCCTAACCATGAACATGGAATGTTTCTCCATCTGTTTGTGTCCTCTCTTATTTCGTTGAGCAGTGGTTTGTAGTTCTCTTTGAAGAGGTCCTTTACGTTCCTTGTTAGTTGTATTCCTAGGTATTTTATTCTCTTTGTAGCAATTGTGAATGGCAGTTCGTTCTTGATTTGGCTCTCTTTAAGTCTGTTATTGGTGTATAGGAATGCTTGTGATTTTTGCACATTGATTTTGTATGCTGAGACTTTGCTGAAGTTGCTTACCAGTTTTGGGAGATTTTGGGCTGAGACAATGGGGTCTTCTAGATATACTATCATGTCGTCTGCAAATAGAGACAATTTGGCTTCCTCCTTTCCTATTTGAATACCCTTTATTTCTTTTTCTTGCCTGATTGCTCTGGCTAGAACTTCCAGTACTATATTCAATAGGTGAAAGAGGGCATCCTTGTCTAGTGCCAGATTTCAAAGGGAATGCTTCCAGTTTTTGCCCATTCAGTATGATATTGGCTGTTGGTTTGTCGTAAATAGCTTTTATTATTTTGTGATACGTTCCATCAATA